ACTCGGTAAGAAATCTTGGTAAAAATTAACAAACCTCTTCGTAATATTTCGTAACAATTTTTGAAGAGGAATCTTACTTTAGTGCTCGTCGATGTTTCAGAATATCACGACCCGTATCTATTGACTGGCGAAAAAGCGATGTTAGCGGTGAAATATCTTTATGGCTTAGGTGAACTGTTTTACGATGACATTCCGCACGAAAGAGCGCTCCTGAGAAATCAAGAAGAGAGAAGACAAAACGGTCTCCATGGTCATATACTAAGGAGCTTGAGGCCTTCTTCTCCGTTCTATAGAAAGCATTGACTAATTAACGATCGTATTGATCATTTCCAATCTCGCTAATGAACGTCGCATCTTGTTAAAGATAAAAGACAGCGTCAAGTTTCCCCGTGCCTCCAAGATGTGACGACAAAAAATCGACAACGCTCCGATAATTTCATTTTATTACATTTTAAATCGAATTTTATGCATCTATGCAACTTCGCTTGTAATTTGAAATTCTAAAAATTAATTAAAAGATATATTGTTTTCATCGCATTGCTCCATCTGATGATATATCACAGCTGTAGTTGACACGTCTCGAAAAGGTAACTAGTCAAAACACTTATCCAGTGAACCAATCTCTCATGTGTTTCAACGCGAATCGCTCACAAAACAGATGTTCCGGTAATATACCTATGTAAGTACCGTTGTCGTTCGTGGACAGTCTGCGTTTAACACTTTCCCGAGTGTGATTTACACATATTGCAATGTATGTATTCCGTTGGTTCTGGTTTCCGTTTAACGCTTTAACGAAATTTGTTACGTAAAACGCGTGCGCCATGCTTTCGCTATGATTATCATATATAAAACACATAACACTGTGATTTTCGTAGGTAAAATATGTTAATATATAGCATATATATATATATATATATTATAAAAGTTTACAGACTTTTTACTCGCCTAGGCTTAACAACAAATTAATGTTTTACAACATACTGGCTATTCGTGGAAATTTTCGCGTCATGTACAGATACAAGGAACATTTTATACAATATAAATACATTCGATTAGATTCTAGTATATCGAAACTAACCGTCGAAGGAAAAAGCAAATCATCGTAAGAATCAATCCGTTGGAAGCGGTCAGTGTCGTCGTTCCGTTACATAGATCCCCGTAACAAAGACACATGTACACTTTTTTGTAATTCCACATTGTGTAGGCGCACCTCTCCTCGCCGTCGTCGGGCCCACGTTGGAAACAAAGCCTCTGCGTGGCAGTGCCGTATTCTTTGCAAAATATACGCGGATGCGAATTAATCAAATCAATCTAATCCTTCATTAGATTCACCATATTCTTACCGTTGTTTATACCGTGACTTTCGATTATTTTGCCACACCATCCAGACGCGCATGGGACAGCATCCACGCCTTTCTCCATTTCGATCTCCGTCGAGTTCATCGTGAACGGATCCTTGCACGATCCCAAATCTCCTCTCGATCTACAATTCACGCATCTCCGTAGGATACCTGAAACCGAGTAAACGATAAATTAAACCCCGTTTCGACTCACCCGCGTCGATATAGATCTCCAGTTTCGTCAAAGATGAATCTGGATGTCCTAATATGCCCGCGTGATCAAAAAGAAGAAAAACGCAATGGATCGCGAGAAGGATGCGCTGTCCGGTATGCGGTGAAAGTGTGCCATTGCTCGCACAGTGTGAGCGCACATATAGATGCAGCCTGTGCCCGAAACTCACCGGTTGCTCTCTCAACTGGAATCAGACAAAGAATCGCGAGTACCGCGGCAACCCTTGTCCTAAGATTCATTTTGCCGTGTGCCCGTTTTTCGGCTCTATCGTATTTTCGATCCGTTCGCTCACTCGTGAACAATCTTGATCGCGACGCAGGCACAGGAACGATCAAACGCGGCCATTTTGGAACTAAACTGTGACTACAGGTAGCCGACTCGACGCCATGCACTTGTCCCTCCCAGACCTTCCTTTCACTCGGCCTTAAAGTCTCTTTCAGACGATACCGTACTAACGACTACCGACTGCAATTCCCGATCAGTTGAACGCGACTCGCGGACCACAGTTTACGTTAAAATTCCCGGGTCTGTTTTCACATCAGCATCCTAGAGACTATCGCAGATGTGGGGGAGTCTTTTGACATTGAAAAAATTCTTCCCTATTTTGTAATTCGAACCGTCGTTATTATAAACTATTCAAGTTTTTACCTGTTTAAACGCACGAACACGTGTTTCCCACTTGCAAGCACGTGCGTGCGCAGTCGCGCGGTTAACTGTTCAGAAATCAATTGGCGCGTGCCAAGGGTTTCGTGAATTAACTTTAATTGTTTATATTACATAAAACTGTATTTGGTACATGTACAGAATATTTCCAAGCGGGTCTGTCGTCTAGCGTTTTCTCGAATCATCGCTATTGATCGATCAACGGTACTTCCTCTTTTTCTTCGCCTTCCTGTTTGATCGACTCGACCACGCGAAACTTGTGCCTCTGTTTACAGGTGTAAATCAGTCCACTGCAGTAGCAAAGCGAGCACAGCAGGAATATATATCCCAGGTATCCCAGGTGACGCAAAAATTCTGCACGGTAGAAAAAATGAATGGCAGAAGAATGCGGACATTGCGTCACGAGAGATTGTCGTAAATACCGTTGTTAATCGATTAATAAAAGTCTTACCTTGAGTTAATAGTCTGGCTTTGGAAACAACGATTACTTTCAGTTGCATCACCTTAACGTTATCGACAGAGCAGGTATAGTTCCCTGCCTCGTAAGGGGAAACGTCTAACACGCATGTGCGAGGACATAGAAAAATTTGATACGTTATATCAGGAGATGCGACTTGTCTACTCGATAAGTTTAATACCTATCAGATAAAGCGTCCCGAACGCGTCTACTACCACGCGAGCAACCGTATCCAATTTGCGAAATGATCTACGGACGCCTTTTTCCAATGTGATCGAATCCTTCTTCCACGACACTTGCGTTTCCAAGCTCGACCTGAAAGACGTAAGCAAGTTAGAAACGAGTTAAGCTTGAATGACGTTTAAAAATCAAATTATACTCGGGACAAATGACGGTAAGGTAAGCTCCTTCCATGAGCACGTATCGTTTGATGTATCTAAACGTGCGAGACGACTTCTTTTTTACCCGCACACACTTTGTACACGATTCCTTCAGGATGTAGTCAGGTAAATACCGTACCGCCATACTGACGCCAGGAAACTCTTTTTCGAGTAGAATAGAGCTGAAACGATGAACGATACCACGTGTAGCGTTGCAAATGTACAAAATTTTTAATCGATTTTAATCAATTTCCTCACTTGCAGGGCAATGACGGAGCCTTTTGGAAAAACTTGACTATCGAAGAATCGCTCTGGCTGGCAATCGTCTATAGCAGCGTTCAAATTAGCCGAATTGCAACAGAAAGCAAATAATAAAATCAATAAGTATTATTGTAGATAATATAAGTAAAGACCTTGTTTGAAATTCGTGTCGTCTTCCTTACCTCGTTTATAAATCGCTTTACTCGACATTTTCCTATACTCGATCTAGTGCCATGACCTCTTATGCATTGTTCACACGGGCCCCAAGGACCCCATTCGGAAATTACATGCAAAGTCACTCCTACATCTCGGATTTCAGACAATTCCGACATTTTAGAGACCTAATACAAATCACATCCGATAGACATTTCACGAATGTCGGCGGATCAAAGTAAGTTAAATCGATTCGATATTTACGGCAAATCGAATGGTAACCGGTCCCAGGTAGGTTTCACGATATTTCTCCCACTCGGTTATATTCCCTTGCTCTTTATGTACGACACTGGATTCCTTAAAACTCGCTATTATAAAAGGCGCTGATTTGATTAATCGTACGTAACCCACTCGTTAACAGTATGCGTAAATTCGCTGAAAGCATTACGTTCGATTCTGTAGTTGAATTTATTTTCAGCCTCCTGTCCCTCTTCGCCGTGGCACAAATAAATGCCAGCGTCCGCGATCTCAAGATTCTTAATTACCAGAGACAGCTGGGGCGTCGTGTAAATTCTATTATACGACATGTTATTGTCCATTCCCAGTTCGACCACTTTCTCGGGATTTTCTCTGTTTCGATCTTGGTAATACCAAAGTTTCGTTTGTTTCTCTTCTTTGTCGTTACTGTCTTATAAAAGCAAGGGTATGACTGTAAAACCTAATCTATTCGTTAATAAATTAATATTCTATACCAAAAACGACATTCCATTGCGACGGTTGAATCGATCTCGGCACTAATCAGTAAATACTCGTCGTTTTCTTTGGACGTTATTAACCTCTCTTTATCTCTACAATATTTGGTAAGCGTTACGAATTTATCGAACGAGACAATATTATCTGGCCTGACTAGCGTCATCGTTAATAACCAAAAACAACTCGTTCGTAACATATTGTCTGTCCAACATTCATACTTTGAATGAATCGTGTCGAATAATTATGTCTGTGAGTGTATGCAAACGGTACTTTCACACATATTTTCAAATGTATAGGTTAAGAAATCGTTCAAATCGCATCGTTCTTGACCTATTTTTAATTTCTTCGTGTAACACGCCGCCTCTAGCTTTAATATACTTTTAAAAATTCCACAAAGTCTGTTTCAATATTTAAAAGTAATTTCCAGCCAATCATAGCGTTTGGAACGCCGGAAAAGGACCACTAGCGAAATTCACCGCGGAGCGGGCGAGCTCGACGGAAATGCGTACCCATGATGCATCATTGATAGCAACATGGCGGAGATGATTGAAAGTGAGTAAAAGTTTACTTATTCTTGATAAAATTAATCCAACAAAGGTTAATTAAATTAAAAAAGTAGTTGTACGGGAGAAATAAATGTTTCGAAGTCTTCAATGTTGACATGTAAAATCTTTCTGGATGATGTTTACGGACTTATGGTTGGTGTTTTAATTGCGCTCAGAAAGGTCTGGTTTAAAATTTCAAAAATGACCAATACACAATTCAAGCGGGACGGCGATCTTTACCATTTCAATCTTCATTTACCAAACAATATTTTCAAGACGTATATCAGCTGATATGTTTCCTTGTCTTCCTACTGTTAATAATTCGACGAGTATGGCTTTTACCTTGATACAATAAGTACGCATACTGTTTACGAAACTACGAAAAGTTTGGTTATGTTGCTACCTAACAGCAGAACGACCAAGTTCTCGTTTCTTTTCGTATCACCATTTCGAATAAGTTTTTACATGACACGATCGCGGATGAAGAATTACTAATAAATTCTATATTAATAAGCGAACGATTATACTTGAGGTTACCAGTATTTGTATACAGTGCTTTTTTTCATATCTACCTTTAACAGATTATAGTATACAATATTATGAAGTAATAATTTCAAAACTTCAAAGAAGATGATATAATTTTATTTAAAACATTATTTCCACATTGATATTTAGTTAGATTTCCTTACATTCTGGTAATTGTAATTATAAATAATCCAAATTTGTAGGCATTTCTTTGATATGTAATACACAGAGCGCAATCTAAAACAGACATGATACAAAAATGTAGCATTATAGAATCGATTAAATGTATTTTCTCATTCAATGCCTTTGCTTTAGGTGAATCTGCTGAAACGCTATTATCTATCAAAAATGGAGGCTACCCTTCGATCGATGAAATCAAAACTGAAATAATCGACGATGATACAATGGATATGGACGATCAACAAATTTCAAATAATTCAACAGACTCGCATATGGATACAGAAGAATCTGATCCAATTCCTGAACTAGGACCTGCAGCATTAGGGTTGCAAAGAGTAGGTGCTCTACCTCCACCAAAACCAAATCCTCCGACTCAACCGGTTCAAGTTCTAAACCGACGAGGAATGCCAGCACGAATAAGAAAGAAAAATAAATTGTTTTATGATGATATATTAGTTAATCATCCGCATCATAGGTAAGTTTACACATTGTGTATATAATAAAGGGTTTAATTCATATTGTCTCTAATATATATTTTCTAGAATCAAAAAAGATCCATCTCAACCAGATACCAAACAATCTCCTAAAAAAATACCTAGACCTTCTCCAGCAAAAAAACAAAATAGAATAACCAATGAGCCACGAAAAAATAATAATATGTTAACCCAACCATTGACACCTACAGTGACACCAATTAAACAAGAAAAAGAACCTGATAAACCTTTACAACCTTCGTCTCCAGATCGTAAAATTGGACAAAAGATTGGCATGAGATTAAGAAATTTATTAAAGTTACCAAAAGCACACAAATGGGTTTGTTACGAGTGGTTTTATAGTAACATTGATAAGACACTTTTTGAAGGTGATAATGATTTTATGATATGCTTGAAAGAATCATTTCCACAATTAAAAACTCGGAAATTAACTCGTGTTGAATGGTGTAAAATAAGAAGAATGATGGGTAAACCACGAAGATGTTCTCAATCATTCTTTGAAGAAGAAAGACGAGAGCTAGAAAGGAAAAGACAAAAAATTCGAATGCTACAGCAAAGAAAAGCTGCGGATGTTAATAGTTACAAAGATTTACCACCAGAAATACCATTGCAATTAGTAATAGGTACCAAAGTTACAGCAAGACTGAGAAAACCACAAGATGGATTATTCACTGGAAGTATTGATGCAGTGGATACTAGTAATAATACTTATAGAATTACATTTGAACGTGCTGGACTTGGAACACATAGTGTCCCAGATTATGAAGTACTGTCAAATGAGCCACCAGAAACAATAAGTGTTGCATCGTTTGCTCAAAAGTTTAGACCTAGACATGTACAATATGTACCATCTCCACCGTATGCAATGAAGTTAATGTCTCCGCGTCTAAATAGCGATCCTTTAATATCTAATGCTTCTGTAGCGCTGCCAAAGAAATCTCATATTGGTGGAACTATGAATGGTTATCCTCTTAAATTACTTGAATTTATGGTAAAAGTAAATAAAATATTAGCCGCAAAAAAAATAAAGCTTAAAAAATTGAAAGAGATGAATAGTGAAGCAGAAAAAAGACGATCTTTTGGAGAACCACTTCCACCGGATTTTGAGAGAAGATATGCAGGGTAATTGACTACTTTATTTAATAATGTATATTAGATTTACGATTCTCCTATACATATTTATATTGATTTTAGAATTGTGGTTGAATTGGAGAAAATGAATACTGCTCTTCAAGATTTTCTTAACGATGTCCAAGAATTATGTCAAGAAATGGCTCCTGAACCTAGCGTGGCTGCTATGCTAGCTCCATCCCACCTTCGTGAAAAGTGTAGACAGGAAGCGGCAGATATGATCACTAGAAATAATATTATCAATGACAAGGAACCTGGGAAAATGACTCAATTAGTAACAGATTTAACCGCTCTAATGCTTCAAGTGAAGGTAATACTAACCATTCGTTCGATACAACCACTACCTCTTGACACCATTGTTTATACAATTTTTCTCATGTTCTAGAGTTTATCTGATTCAGACCGAAACGCATACGAACTGAAAGTATTACAGGGTACTATGGAACAAATACGTTCAAAACTGAGTCCACAGAATCAACAAGTTTTTCAAAATTGTGTTGAAATACATATGCAACATATACAATTAGGTCTTGGACAAAGAGGTGCTTTAACACCATTTATGGCTCAAAGGGCTTAGCAAATGTAAAAGTAATCTTCGCAATACTTTTAATACATGTACATTACTAAAACAGATATAGAACATAATACTACAATATTTTATAAGAAAATCCAACTTTATTTTATTATCTTTTTGTATAAGGCATATCATTATTAAAGAGTATCTATATTATTAGGATACAAATGTGTATTAACACTACTGTACATACAATGTTTCTAAAACTACTTTTTCAAGCTGCATTCTGTAAATGCTTTTAGAATAATGTGCTGTTAATTGCATTAAACGTTTAAAAATGTTCATATTTTAAAGATTTACATGTCAGCTTTGCAATTTAAATACAACGCGAAGTTATCTTTCAATTACTAAATCATTAATACTGCTGTAAATAGAATATGCACGTTCTACAGTGACAGTTTTCATAAACTTCGTATAGAAATTAATGATTTTAAATTATAATATTTTCAGTTTGTAAAATATAATTGTTCTTTTTTGTTTGTCTATTAATAATTGAACAGATTAATATATAATTATTATATTAGTATCATTTAGTAATTCTTCATAGTTCTGTATATTAGGCATATTCACTAACATTGCGAAATAAATTGTAAATACATTATGAGTGGTAAAAATATACAATTCTTTTGAAATAAATCTTATTCACAATAAAATAGAAATTTACTACAATTACACACGTAAAGTTAATATAAATAATTTCAATATAGACATTATTTTCAATGACAAATTATCTTTATAATTTCTTTTAGTGATGCTATGAAATTTGTTTATTATTCGAAAAGAAAAAAATTTAAGTATCCCTATTTTTGTTATATAAATGAAAATAAATTTTGTAAGTATTGTGATAATCTTGACAAATAAAAGTATGTATATTAATTGTTCTAAATTTCAGACACATTTATTTTTTAAGTATACATTCTTATATCAACATTAATTACAGTAATGACGTTATAGAGTATATTTCGTGTAGTGGAAAATAAAAAAGAATTTTACTTTTGCAGTCGTAATTTACATAACAGTTTATATTGTAGCATTAAAGTAAAAAATCTTCCAACATACATGAAATTTATATTTAACAGCAAAAAATTGTATTTTTTCCGTAGAATCGTTAGTAATCATTCAAATTTATTTGAATATGTTCTGTGTATAACATGTCACATATGTCTTATTTAATTGCGTTGTAACACCAACTCTCATATCTCTTGCAAGTTTCAATATAACCTATTGTTTCCTTCATTTCTTATGTTTATTCAGTGCGTTAATTAATGCGTCTGCATCTTCAGCTGTTTTTACTCTTAACAAGACTGATACCGGTGGTGGTGTAGATTCAGGCATTGGCAAACAAACCAACATTATTGTGGTTTTATCCATGCGTACTGTTGGAATACTTTCAGTTAATAAAGTATTGAGCAGTAAATTTCCCAGAGAGGTCTCTGCACGTACTATTAATTGCGTTTTATCATTTGGAGTTGGCTTTAAAAACAGTATTCCTACACCTCTACTAGTAAAATTACCATCTTTCTTTATGAAAACTTTACATCTGTAACAAATGCAATACGAGTAAATTTTGTTATTAGAAATATGTTTATTACAGAGTATTACCTTTGTTCATAGATGGCACCTTCTTCTGTTACTTTCTTATACTCTACTTTTGGTGGTTCCTCATCTTCGTCATCTTTTACTTCAGTTTCTGATTTATCCTCAGACTCTTGTGGTTTTACAACTTGAGCTCCGAATGTAAATGGTTTGGCACTACAAATTAAAATGTTATCAAAATGTAGTGATTTGTACATGAGTAAATGAGAGAGCCTTCCAAATACCTTCCAAAACTAAAACCAGTTGGTGTATTACTAGTAGCAGAAGAACTTTGACCAAAACAGAAAGTACTAGCTGGACCAAAAGAACTACTCGTAGATTTTAAATCTGATTTTGACTCTTGTTCTTCTGATTTATTATCTGAGACAGTAGATGGTTTACTCAAAAACGAGTTCTTTTCTGAGTTCACATTTCCAAATACACTTTTAGTCCCAGCATTATGGTCTATGTTACCAAAAACAGATTTATGTGTACCCGTAGATTGCTCTGTATTACTAAAAATAGATTTACTAATATCTGCGGTATGCTCTGATTTACCAAATACAGATTTAGGTGAATATAGGTCAAAAATTGATTTTTCACGCTTCCAATCTGTAGAATTCAAAGGAAATTTTGGACTTGTCCCTCCAAATGGAGAGTTAGTAAGTTTTTTTTCTGTACTTGGACTCTCCTTATTATCACTAGTATGCACAGGCTGCACATTCTCTGATATATATGTTGCCTTATCGGTTCCATTTCCATGTTTTGCTTCAATTTCTTTAAGATATCTTTCATAATCTCTAAAAATAGGTGTTAGAATACAAAATGAATTTGCATCTACATGAGTTTTAATCCATTGTGCCACACTTTCATTCAACCCTTTTAATTTAGCAAAATAATCAGAAGATTTCTTAAATATATTTTGATCTTCTTGTTCGCAAGAACTCTTTTTACTTGTAGTTGTGCTGGATGATGTTTGCACTTCAGAATTTTCTTTTTTATTCGTGCCATTTTCACTGCCTTTAGATGCTCCGTTACTTGCTGGAGATTTGTTGACGGTTGTGTGCGTTTTTAAATTTGCATCAGGAGTATTACTATTAACTAAAAAGCTGAATGGTGAACTCTGAGGTGTAGATGATTCTACTTTAAAGCCTGCAAATGTACCGAATGTACTTCTGGTATTATCCTGAAAATTAATCAATGATAAATATAGAAGGACTTAAATTAACAAATATAAAAATACAAGAGTTACTTACTTCTGTAGCTTGTAAACGACGCTTAGCCCTTTTAACAACTCTTTTTTCAAGTACATCATCGGATGCTTTTGTAAATGTTCCGGCGTCTTCGGGTTCGTGTTCTTCTTGCCAATTGTCATGATTTAATTCCGTAGTCGCGGATCTCTTAGACGACATTTTTAATACTATTAAATGAAAGAGAAGACAAAATAGAAAAAAGTTTATATCGAAGAAATTGTAACTATTGTCGAAAACGTTATAGTAAATTGGATAAGTTATAATATCTTCTAAATAAAATGGAAGGAATAATCGTAATATAACCTCTCAGCCTTTCAAATATCATGATATTGATTTTCTTATTTTTGCAATAAAAATTGAATGAAGTTACAATATTTAATAAACTTAACACTATAAAGAAGTTTATTGAAATTAATTTAATTACACTTATATTGTACTATATGGTTAACGTACATGAGAAATCATAGATACTTGAGCAGTAGAGCACAATTTTTTAAGGGTTACGCATGCGTGTTTGTCGATCAAACTAGTATACAACGAACGTCAAACTTTATCTTGAAAGGTTAAACAACAGTATAATAATTTGAGTACTATTTGATATTTACGCTATAAACATATATCTTAATCTACTCTCAATGGTAAGATAACGCAACATTTACAAAAGCAATTTGAACGAGTATAAAAGTACTTTTTTAAATTCTATAAGGTGGTATTTACTAAATATCTTTATTGTTACAAATGATAAATAAAAAATATAATCATAACATGTAACTACAATTTATTTGAAAATTTAGAAAAATTTATAGTAGATGTATATCGACGAATTGATATTCTTTGTCTTTACCGTGTTCTAAACTTTTAACTTCTTCTACAGAAATTTCAAGAGAAGTTCTGCAATTAATATAAATTGTTAAGGCAATTCTGTTTATATACAAAAAGTAGTCCATTTTTTATGGTGGAAGTTTACCATAGCGTAAAATAAATTGATGAAGATATTATCATATCTTTCTATATGTATTCATTATAAAATATACAGTCTATACCATGTATACATGAAGAAAGATCACGTGATGTACTGCTATCATGTACAGATGATCGATTTAAATTCCACACTCCAGTATATATGTGCGTGTATTTATATTTCCTCTAGGAGCAACCAATATATAGTATATGAAGTTATAGACTGTATATGATTAAAGTTTTACATGTATGAAAAGGATATAGTATTTTTTTGTAGTTTTCAAGAAAGTAGGTTTTCTAGAATAATGAATCGATAGAGATATGAAAAGGATACAAATCGTGGGATATAATTGTTAATCTAACTTAATGTGCCTAATAAGTGTAGCCATGTTAAGACGTATCTTCAAATGCGCAGAAATTCCGAAACGCGTCTCCGGCTTCAAGGAATGAGTACGCTTGTCTCCTACCGTGAACGCCGTTTCGTTTCGTTTCGTAATCGCAAATACGTGGCGCCACTATCGCCGGCATTACCAACGTTCACTATCATACAAGATTTGTCTCGAGAAAATCTTTTCCTTGTCCGTCCTGTGGTTTTGTAAATTCGTAAGTGCAAGTCGTGTCGGTTGTCGAACGTGAATGAAAATACAAGTTAAATAAAATTGGAAGATAAACTGGAAGGCTGTTTGGTACAGCACGCATACCGGTTGTACAAGCTTGGCGCGAAAACTCGCTTTCAAGGAGCGCGTCGGATCCCTGGGCATACAACGCAACGAGAGGGAGGAAGAAAGGCTGGGGGAGAAAGAGAGAAAGATTGTGGGCTAGGGCTAGGGGTGCCAGGGGATCTCGAGCAACTTGGCACGTCCGTGTACGGAGGCAACAGTGCTGGTGGCAGCACAGACGCTCGTTGATGAGCGAACAATTCACTTTGGTACGCGGTTTCACGACGTTATTTGGTCTGTTCGGTGCCGTGAAATAAGGATATTCATATGTACGTACGTAACAGAGGGACAAAGTGTGCCTGTGACATTTTTACCTGTTCGATTTTCCTAAGTTAAAACGGTCAAGTGTCGTCGCGGTGGCTCGAAGAGTTGGTGGCTGGTGCGCGCCGTGCGTGCGGTTGATCGGAGCGTATACCGCTGTTCTCGTCAATTTGGTGGGAGAGTGAGAGTGAGAGAGGGAGGAGGGGTTTCCCGTCCTCCTCTTCTCTCGCTAAAATCAGCCGGATTTTTGAACAGGGAGGAAAAACGAATAAACGCATAGTAAAAATATGGAGATATCGAAGAGTTTGCAAGCTGAAATTCTCGCCGTGCAAAATAAGCTGAAAAATGCCATACGCGATCATCAGGTGAGTTTCACGATGCATAATATGTGCATATATGTATGTCGAAAGCGATTTAAAGATTGAGAGTACAAATCCAAAGGAACCTGTGGGCGAGTAAGTTGACGAATAATTTTTAACCGAGCACCGAATTTTTCCTACTATTGCACGCGCTGTCGTCTATTGATTGAAAAATCTAGGTAACACGCTCGATAAATAATCAACATAAAAAGTGAACAAGTTTTTGCAAGCGATTTAGCACGTATCTGTCGATGCTAAATACTTTATTACCGAGGGAACGTTATAAAGCAATCGATAATTAAACGCTCGCAACATTTTTCTTTGGGAATCCGTTTCTTTTTGTTCAGTTTTCTTGGCATTTCCACGTACAATGCGTGCACGAACGCATGTACGCACAAGGCACGCGCGCGCGTGCATAAATGCATACTTCCATACTATATTTACTGAATTCGTTTCTTTAACGTAAATTCCTCGAAGATTCGTGAAACAATCATCGCGATCAAAGATGTCCGATTAGTGCGGGACACCGACGAAAACTGAGATACTGATATGCCATATGTCTGTCCGATCTATTTTTTAATAGTACATAATAGCATTTC